GATGAAAACGTTTTTTAATTGATGGCAAAATGTTTACATTTATAGAAACACAAAATTTTGAATGGCTGGATTAATTTTTTAATTAATGGATAAATTTTTACTTTTATAGAAACACATATATTTACAGGGGTCTACCAATTCTAATATTGTTCAGTATTTAAATTACCACAATACCAAATACACATGGACCTTATTTACTTGTATGCCAATTAAAAACGGCGAAAATAGATGAAAACATTTTCTTAATTTACTGAAAAATTTTTACATTTACAATGACAGGAATTCGTTTTTTTCAAAAAATAAAAAAATCCAAAATACGCATTGTCAATTTTGAAAATTTTCAACTTTAAATTTTAATACGCAGTGCGTATTTGGGTAACATTCATTGAAATACATGTATTTAACTTTTGAGGTAGATAAAATCGAACGCATACGCATGAATTTAGGTACGGCCCTTAAATAAGAAACACAACACTATTTATAATTTTGAGAGATAATTTACTTGAAAATATTCTTTAAAGACGATATAAATTAAAATTGAATTGAATGCTGACAAAATATTAATATTTTCGTTTTGACGCCGAACATAATTTTGATATGATTTGAAAGCAATCTTATGTTGTTATAACCGATATGTCGTTAAAATCGGTGTCGTTATAAACGATTTCGAGAGGACATTGCAAAATTATCATTATTGTTAGGCCCAGACGAAACGGTTGAAGCTAAAATCCTAAAATTGTTTATGTCGGTCAGTATTGGTGCGTAGATGAGCTTATAACCGATATGTCGTTAAAATCGGTGTCGTTATAAACGATTTCGAGAGGACATTACAAAATTATCATTATTGTTAGGCCCAGACGAAACGGCTGAAGCTAAAATCCTAAAATTGTTTATGTCGGTCAGTATTGGTGCGTAGATGAGCTGGGAAATTCGAACTATAAGGGTGCGAAAAGTACGAAAGTTAACAATCAACGCCTAAATGAAACGGCTGCAGATAGAATCCAGTAATGTTGTGTGAGGGGTGGCACGTAGGTATGTAATAAGGCAGGGTTTGTGTAAACTTGTTTTTTCGAATGTGCGTGATAAAAGTACCCAAGAAAAGTTTTGAATTGTACTTAGTGTAGTAGGAGCAAGATATACATTTTCAGATATAAAAAAATGAAATTAGTCCTGATTTAGATTAGGCGAGTTTACTTGCTGCAATTATTATCGTTCTCGTTTAAACTTGCTTCATGAGTCTATTCAAGGCAATTCGGTTTCAAAAAAATATTTTTTTTTACATTTTGTGACAATGTTCTGGATTGGTATTTCAAATTACTGACACTACAAACAAAATACACAAAACGAATTGCCAGAGAATTGTCGGTACGGGCAATTTTTTTTCAAATTCTATTCCTCTTGCCCCTCTCTCCTGCAAACACAGACTTGCCGCAAGTAATCTCGCCCTTTCTAAATTCAGACTTAAGTATTTGAAACTTTGTTGCTATTTATAGTTAAGACAAGTATACTGATTTTTTGGAAGTTCGTACTTAAGCATACGAATTTTTTTTAATTGTACTAAAATTAGCTCATGGGTCTTTACTTAGATTGACATGTGTGCATCCTCAGGAAAAACGTCGACGTTAACCCTTTCAGTGTCAAAAAAAGATTTTTTGTCGGAATAAAAATCTAAAATTTTGTATTTAAAATCGTATAAAGCCACGGTTTTGAGAAAAAAAAAACAATTTTTATTTTAACCCTCGGACAGTTTTGCCTGTCTTTCAGCAAAAACAAAAACATCAATTGTAACTGTACATAGGATAACCGAAAAATCGCAAAGAAAGAGAGAAATTTTATATGTCGAATATATTCGACAAACACACTGAAAGGGTTAATTATTTAGCTGTGTCGCTGACCAGCAAAGTAGTCTATTGGTGGTATATGATCTCTCCACGATGTATGACTATGTTATTAGGATGCAACTAGAATTTTTGGTTGGAAGAAGAGTTCATCCTTAAATGTGTACAGTCGAATTCGGATAAGTGAAAATTCGAAATAAGAGAAAATTCTGCATAAGAGAAACAATATTCCACTGTATTTTATTAAATTTGTGTACGTTTATTGTATCAACCGGTTTGATGACAGACAAATATTGTATGTCATGTAAAATAGCTTGATATCTTCTGTCGGTTTGCAGTGATCGAAGACGTTGTCCGACATGCTACAATCGCATTGTAAAATAACTTGATATGTTCTGTCGGTCTACAGTTATAGAAGACGCTATCCGACATTCTTGAATCGCATTGTTAGAAAATTATTTTAAATGTATCCGATGTCTCTATAGAGAAATATGTATGAAGCAAGCTTCTATTATTACTAGAACATTACAGAGCTCGAGAATCTTTACTGGGATTGATATGTATGCCTCATCAGAGAAAATATCGTCCTTATAGATTTACCAATGATGTCTATTGGTTGTATATGGCATGCTCCTGTGTCCACGATGTGTGCCTTTCTGTAACTGATGATATTTCTAATTTTGAGTAGTATATCTTCAAAACAAGCACTCCACATGTGAGTATGTGCCTGATTATATTGGTATACATTCATAGTACCATTTCGGCTTTAATGCCTCAACGGTTTCGCAATAGTTTGCGTTTTGCGTAATCTATAGACATTGACTTGAAGTCTATTGACTTGAAGTCTTTTCTTCTGACACATATATCCATTCCCATGATTTTATAATCAAGTCTCGACCTATTTATTTTATTTATGGATTTGTGGTATAAGTAGCAACTTTTCATTTCTGATACATAACTGACTTAAAACATTTGAGGATGATATACCTGTTTTGTGTAATAAATAACTGCTTGGTGTTAAAAATACGTAGAAACGGAGAACTTTTTTGCGATTTGTTTGTAAGATATTTCGGTTCGAAACCCAGTAATCTATGTATTGAATAGGAAGTATAAAAGGTCTGATTTTGCCTTTTCACAATGACGGTGGGAAGATGGTATGGTTGCTAATATAAGCCCAGAGCACACATCAAAACTGTAGGAGTTGTTTTAACTATGTGACCACCAATGTATATTTAACTACAGTTGCAGTATATAAGTTTGTATGCACCCTTATTATGTATGCGTTCTTATAGTACGCCAGCTCTCCAGACGTAGACGTTTTGGGTCGGTATTATGTAGAATTTATGACTATGCCTTATTTTGTAATAGACTTTTCCTATACTCAATTACAAAATCGAAATAAATATTGTATTCTTTGAAGCCATTTTAATATTGTATTGCAAAAGATACATCTTTTAGCCTGTTTCTTATAATTTGTCCGGCATGTTGGATTCTTATGAATAATGGGAAATGCAATAAAATAAAGTCTAATGTAACAATTAATCAGAAAAATTTGTTAAACTAAATTTTTAAAAATATTTTTATAGTTTTTTATGCTGTCGTTGACACATCTTTGACGTATTGCAATTTCATAATACCAATTTTTCATATAAATACTACTGTGCAAAATTTTCGACACGACTACGCCAACCGCAAAAGTTAATATAATAATGGATTATAAATAGAATATATAATAACGCCTAAAAAATTAGACATGTAAATTAAATTAATATTATAATCAATTAATTTACCGCATAATTTTAGGAACATAGTATATATGATTTCCTGATATATTCGGTATTCGATAAAACAGCAAGGTGCACAGTACTCAGATAAGAATGACGCGACTTGCATCAAAATATATGTATATCACCATTCGAACATGGATTTATGGAAATTCGTAATTAATATTGCACTACGCCAGGATCGTTAGAAGTACAATTCTGAAGTTCAGCACTTCAGTCTTTATCTACAACCAATGAAACTAAAGTTGGAGATACACCCGAGGATTCTAGATCTGCTCCTCTAAGATGCATTTTATTTAAAGCCAATTTATAACCGAATATATAATAACGACTCAGACTACCAATGCCAACTCAATGCGCCTTCTTGGTGTTTACAAATAATTTTTAGAAATTAGTTCTAAAAGATATTAAATAGTGTAATACGCAATTATGTATCGTATAATATATTATAAACAAAATGCTGTACAAATATATATATATATATATACATTTTTTTTTTGGAAACATGATATTTAAAATTCGTATTGGCCGACGGGAACTGATAGAACATTGCATCTATTTTGATTATAAGTATTCATAAAATTTGTATGAGTATACTAATTTGATGCACATATAATTACAGGCAAAAGTTGTGTCTAGTGACGAGGCAGCATTAAGTTATCGGACAATAGAACCTCCCAGAGATGTTCATATAAAAATGTTGCAGGACAACATAGATACTCTTGAAAAAGTTTTCAATTACGTCGCTAAAACTCATTCATCAAAACGTTGCCTAGGCACGCGTCAAATTTTGAGTGAAGAAGATGAAGTCCAACCCAATTGCAGAATATTTAAAAAGTACAAAATGGGTGAATATAAGTGGAAGAACTTTATCGAATCCGAACGTTTAGCAGCTGCTTTTGGTCGCGGTTTGCGTGAATGCGGCCAAGAACCTAGGAAGAATATCGTCATTTTTGCAGAGACTCGAGCTGAATGGATGATTGCGGCACATGGTTGTTTCAAACAATCCATGTCAATTGTTACGGTATATGCAACATTGGGAGATGAAGGCGTGGCTCACTGCATAAGTGAAACAGAAGTGACAACTGTTATTACATCCCATGACTTGCTGCCTAAATTCAAACTGCTTTTGGACAAATGCCCAAACGTCAATACGATAATCTACATGGAAGACCAATTACATAAAACTGACACGACAGGATTTAAAGAAGGCGTAAAAATCTTACCGTTCTCACAAGTTACACGTCTAGGCCAGGATAGTAAATTTGGTATGTTAATACTGTAATGTTGCATGAAGATAATTATCAGCTCAGTTTGTTGCGATATTAAAATTTTATTCTAAATAACGTCTACACTTTGTTTTTTATTTTATTATTATTCTAGAGAGCGTTCCACCAAAAGCTGACGATATCGCCATTATAATGTATACTTCTGGATCAACAGGAACACCAAAGGGAGTCCTATTGTCACATAAAAACTGCATTGCAACAATGAAAGGTTTTTGCGATGTCGTTCCAATCTATCCCGACGACGTCTTAATAGGGTAAGCACTTATTAGAAATATATTGAAAGCATACTTTAGTATTTTTTTGTAGATTTCTTCCACTAGCTCATGTATTTGAGCTGGTTGCCGAAAGTGTATGTTTAATGACGGGCGTGCCGATTGGATATTCCACGCCTTTGACATTAATAGACACTAGCAGTAAGATTATGAGAGGCTCCAAAGGAGACGCTACCGTCTTAAAACCAACTTGTATGACAACTGTACCAGTATGTAAATAGTTTTTTTGTTACCAACAAAAGTTATATTAATTGTTTTCCTATTTTCAGCTTATATTAGGTCGTATATCTAAAGGCATTAATGATAAGGTGAATTCCGGGTCTGCATTCAAAAAAGCTTTGTTCCAGTTTCTGTACCAATACAAAGTGAAGTGGACACAAAATGGATACCAGACCCCATTGATTGATAGGTAACACTTATTGATTTTTGTTTTAACTATTACTGTTTATCAGTAATATTTTTCAAAAAAAAAATAAAATTTTAGACTCGTGTTTAAGAAAGTTGCCAAGCTAATGGGAGGACGTGTTCGTATTATGATGTCCGGGGGAGCACCACTTTCACCCGACACACATGAGCAGATAAAAACATGTTTGTGTGTCGATCTAATCCAAGGATACGGTTTAACTGAAACCACATCGGGAGCGACTGTTATGGATTGTAATACAACTTTAAAACAATTTCAAACTCATTTATTTCATTAAAATTACGTTTACTTTTGTTTTTCAATTCTAAAGATCGTGATATGCAGTACGGTCGTGTTGGCGCACCTTTGACAGTTTGTGATATACGTTTAGTGAATTGGGAAGAAGGAGGATATAGAGTCACAA